AACATTTGGTGAATTTTCGGGGGATTTCGTAGCATAACGATGACATATAGCAATATTTCATTAGTAAAGAAACTGGTATGGGGTTTTTAAATGGCAATATATCAGCATATGAAGATATTGGGATATTTTAATGGATCAATATTTTTTCCCTCGTCTTTAGAAGTTTTTAAGTCTGTAAAAAAGAAGTTTTTGAGGAAGAAGAAGAAGTAGTATTTTATTTTATTTTATTTTTTAGACTTTAGAAACTCAGAAGCTGATCAAATATCGGGTTAAATATCGGTGGGGTGGCCAATTATATCGTGCATCCCTAGTTTTAACAGAATAACACTTCCCTCATAAAATATGTAAAAACATGAACATGTATGCAAGAATATCCATTTTCAGGATGGATGTTCTTAACTCACTTAACCCTTTAAAGCCAAGTGTATCATATTTGAAACTTGAAACCCTGACCTACATAATCAGACACATGAAGTGAACAGAAAACATATAAAAGATTATATAGAAATGCGTAATATAACAAAATTGATGCAAATAAATGATGTAATTTAATGTATTTACAAAATTGATATAGTTATTTCCTTTGTCACAAAGTTCAATGACAATTCTAATTTTAGAAAATTAGAATCTTCTGTCAATTATTTCCTGGTTCAGGCTTTAAAGGGATAAAGCTGTTCTCAGGAAGGCAAAGTCCAGCTATCAGTTAAACCCAACGTAAGTTTTTGTTCAAATCTGATAAATAAAACGGTCAATATCTGGTGTCAACAGTCGATTTAAGTCGTCAGAATTATGAGTTTCTTTGACCTCGTTGAATTCAGCCTTATCTGTGATTGGTCACATAAAGGCACAGACTGTGTGAGTAGAAGGAATGAAAAGGAAGTAATATAAATGTAAAGCGCTGGTAGGGTATGATGCAACTGGTAAGAAACACATGACATAACTTTATCTACTGAAAGTTAACAATTTCATTTTTCATAGAAGACAAGTAGCATAGTCAATGTTATGATTTGGGATCCGTTTTAGAAATCTCTAATGGCGAATAACTTATTTTATATCTTTAAATGGTACAAATATCAATATTTCAGTTGAAGAATGAACTTATGCACGTGTTCCTTTTTAAAACTTTAGAATCATGTTTTCACTGAGAAGAAGCCAAGGTTACATTGAAGGCTTGTGTGTCTTTGGAAGCTCAGCCTCACCTCCTGTCAGGCAGAATGGGAACCCTCCAGCCTTTGATGAAGCTCAGAGAGCTGTCGGTGAGCTCCACCTGCAGGGGAAGCTTGGGCACCCAGACGGTGAGCTCCAGCGGTGCGCTCAGGTGCTCGTAGCTGAAGATGATCCTGGCGTTCATGGAGCCCCGGGTCTCCTTGCCGTTGACGAACACGTAGTCACAATTCATAGAAACCTGGAAGAGATCACGGTCAGCTGTCAGAGGCCATCTATATGGTAATGGTCACGTCGGCCGCAGGGAGAATTCAAAAGATTTGTGGTGATATATGGCACAGCGTGGATCCAGGAGCAAAGGGTACAAATCATAGCAGAACACTTCAAGGTTTCAAAAGAAACAGAACATGTATTTGCTTCACATAAAAGCAATACAATACATTCAGATTTTAATTACTTTTATTTCCTTCTCCTGAACAGATTGGTCAATAAATCAGAACATCATCACTGGGTTCGAGCAACTCGATTCAAGAGGTGAAACAGCTCCTTCATTACTCATAGAGTTACACAGTAGCATCTAATTAAAGGAATAGTACACCCAAAACATGATTAGCCTTAATTTTCTACTCACCCCCATGCTGAACAACACTCTGGAGT